TGTGTGAATGGCAAATACAGTTCCCAGGAGCGCTTTCCTTAAAAGCGCAATGAAGGTATAACTGTGCCACCCTAAAGGCTGGGTGGATGAGAGAAATGCTCCCCAATCTGTATTGGGTTTTCATACCCTACAGCAAAAGCGAAATGATTCCGGTTGCGCAATTGTAATTCCTGAAGAAACCGAAATTCAAAAGATCTCGGTTCTTCACGCATTCTGTCAGGGTTCTGTCGGGGTTCTGTGCGACGTCGTGTGGACACACGGAAAAATAATACGTATTCGGTTGGGATTTCATTTGGATTCTGTCTGCATTGAGCCCCGTGTGATAAGGTCCTGAGACAGCTTGGAAGGAAAACATTTTGACAAGAGTGAGGAAATCTGGCACTTTTTCAAGTTCTCTCCAACTGTATATCAGCAAATTTACTAATTTTGATAAATTCTTCAAAAATAAACTGAAATTACATTTCCTCTGATTCCCCCTTGTTTATTGTGTGTATGTATATGCACCTTCTAGTTGCCTGTCACCTTATGGCAACTCCATATATTTCATAGGGTTTTCTTAGGAAAGGAATATTCACAGTGGTTTGCTATTGCCTTCCTCTGAAACGTAGCCTACAATACCAAGTATTCCTTGGCAATCTCCCACCTAATTACTAACCTGGCTGACCCTGCATAGTTTCCAAGATAAGGGGGGGAGTATGGTAGATCTTTTTCCAGCATGGATAGGGCCATGTTGTGCCTGACTGCCATGTAAAGATGAGGAGCCTTTGAGAAAAAATTTCAGCATTAATGTTGAATTCAAACCTAGACTTTTAAGAACTAAACAAAGTATTGGGCATGGACGTAACTATGAAGGCCTTACCACATGAGGCTCCTCTTCAGGTACAATTGTGTTGACTTTAAAAATGCAGGAGTGCTCTTTTTTACCACCGCACCTTCATAACCATTGTGGGATTGTAGTGTCTGATGGTGCTAAAGCTCTATTGCACACACTCCACATTGAATTAACCTCCTTAGTGCATGGATGGAGGTTGGGGGTACACATGCATGCATGTATGCACATACAATGCCAGCTAAGGCGGGGGGGGG